AATGTGGTGGTTTTTTCCCTAAATCAAAGGTCAATTTACTGTTTTTAACAAGAGGGAAGTCTGAGTGCTCATCAGTAGAGTGGGACTATGAAAATTATTTATATGGCCTCTTTGACTACATTGCACTGAAATAAACAGATGCCAAAATAAACAGTCTTGCAATAGAGTTTTCTGAGTCAAAACTAGCAGCATTACATGAGAGTACAAAACGATTCCACTATCTGAATTACATAGTCACTTGTTTTCTGGTTCAGAGATTTACTGGGCATTTTAAGTGGGTAAAAAGAAATGCTAGAATATGCAATGTCAGAAGCCATTTTAAATTTCACTGCTTCTAAAACCGTACTAAAGTGCACAAAACAGTTGAATTAGGGGAGGGTAGCATTTTGGCGTGTGTGTGCATTGGTGTGGTGTGTGTATATTTATGAAATAAATACAGGATCAAAAATTCAGAGTATAATAAAGCTACAGCTGTATTTAAACTGATTTCTAAGTGCTAAGATTTGGACAAAGAAAAGGATGAGAAAATATGAAGAATGGAACTAAAGAGCTAACATTTTCAAATTTTATGCTGAAATGACTCCTTTGAAACACTAGTTGTGAATAGGTGCCAATGTCTTTCATTTAAACAAAGGCAAAGTCCCCCTCCCCATTTTTTGGTCTATAAGCAAGACTAAAATACAGCATTAAAGATACAAAGTTCTTCAGTATTTTGTCCGTTAATCTGTAGGCATACGTAGCCACTCTTAAATGCAGCATTATCAAAAGATTTTGCAAAGGAATGGAGGACTAGAAGAAACCTCCTACAGGAGCAAGTCTTAATTTCTTACCACGATAGGAAACAACATAATAATCTTTCATAAATTTATTCAGGTCCCTCTTGAAATGGCTAGGTATCTGTTACCCTTTATCCTCTGTTTGGAAAGGTTTCCAGAATTGGATTTGTTTTTCCCAATTTCTAGTCACAGTTTGTTCAGGTACAGCTTTTACTCAGCTGTTCTTATACTAACATTATTTTTTAGCTTAAATATTTCTTTTTCTTCTTTGTTACCACCAGTAAGGAATTTAGGTAGGACCCTTTCCATTCAGGAGAGAGGAGGCTACCTACAGCCTATCTGTGAGGGTAACTGAACAAGCACAAGGTATAGGCAATCAGTGTCATATTATCCAAACAAAATCCTACTGATCGTTAGTTCCCTAGATGATAGCCCAAACACCTTGAGTGACTAGGGATCATTTCGGGAAGGCAGCCAGTTCTTCCTACATTTCGTGTTTTTTAATTTTTTTTAAAATTATTTATTTATTTAAGCATGTTGTGATTTTTTTGTTTGTTTATTTAATGAGTACATTCCAATTCCCTCTAGCTATCTGCTTGACCTAGCCGATTTTAAGTTTACTACAGCTTATTCCCAGTAATGTAATTATAAAACCAGAGCAGTTCAAGAAAGACTTTTTGTTCCATTCCATGCTTCACATACTAGCAGATGAAAGCAACACCTACATTGCCTCCCATTTTGTCTGTGTAATTTCTCCATAAGTGTTTATCAGAGTCAAAAATCCAGTGGTTGAGAGAGACATGTAAGCTGTCAAGACCAACATTTTGGACCTTTTTTGCATTTCAAAGAGTATGTAGTATTCAGTGAGGTGGGGTTTGGGATTTTGTTTGTTTTGTTTGTTTCCTTGTCTTTGGGGGAAGATGATCTCCTGTATCTTCATGGTTTTGTTTTTCATGGCTATACCACTTTGGCACCCTGCAGTGATACTGCAAACATCTGGTAAACTAGATCCCTATATTCTCCTTAGTTTTTTCTGACTGATCTCCGAGTTCGTATATGTATTTTTACCTTGGATACACAACTTTGCAGACTTTACTGTTGAATTTCTTCCCATTCTCATTAATCACATAAATGAATTGAATCGACAGTAAAGTGCTCATATTTTAAAGAGTGAAACATAGTTTATTTTTGTGAGTTTGTTCATTTTGCTAATTACAATATACTTTTAGGTTTTATATGCAAATGAAATTGCATGGAGTACTGACTGTCACAAATGACTTCAATTCCTCACCTTTTTTGGTTGGGTTTTTTTTTTTTTTGACTGGGAGAGGGAAGAAATAACCACTTGAGTCTATGTTGCTTTGATACAAAGGTAGGATAGTTTGCTACTGGGATAATTTTTCTCTGTTTTTTATGGCTTTTGGAGTGGATCATCTACCTCAACAGAAGCTGAGCTAAGTTCTCAGCTAGCAAAGTCAGTGTTAGTCAAGGTGGTGTTTAGCCTGCTCCAGTCTTATTGGTTCCCTGGATGTTTCAGCATTGTTATACAGACTCGGTGTCTGTTATCACCATAAAAATGTGGTAGCAGTTCCCAGAAAGACACACAGCCTGTTCTGTTGTGGTGACTGAATATGTGAAGAAATGTCAAGACTAATGTAATGCTAAGGGTTAAAAAAGATGTAGCTGGTAAAGATAACAGCATAGTAAAAGTGCTTGCCACACTCATGCAGCTACTGAATTCTTGTTCAGAAATGTCCCTGGAGGATTCTTCAGCAGGAGCACCTGGATATGTTGGTCCTCCTACTCATTCCTGTTTTTCCTGTTGTCTTTTCTGTTGGGTTGTATCAAGGGACTACCTGTTAGCCAGGGTTGGAAAGCTGACCCAACTGAAAAATAACTTTTTTTTCCCCTTTGCATCATTTTAAACATGGATCACTTCTCTTCTGCAATTTATGACACATCCCTGCAAGCACTTGCAACTGGCACAGCTGAAAAGGCAGGCAGGGGAAGAAGGGAGGACCCTAGGAAGCCTGACCTGGCAGTCCTGTACATTTTCACCACACTAGGGCTTTAGGTTTTGCTCATTCTGGAGACCTCAGTACTGTCTGTGGGGCTTTTTTTTCCTGTCATCCTTGTTTTGATTTTTTACATAGGCCGGCTGGCTGAGATAGCTAGATGCTAGAATTGTCATCATTGGTATGTTAGGGACATTAGCTATCATTCCTCTTGGACCCTGGCTATGCTGTGCCTTACAGGTTTGCTCTTCTGCTGCCTAATCCCAGTGAAAGCGGGACTTGGTTGAGAGAAGTTGCAAACCAAAATGATGACTTTGGTTGAGGAAGAGGACTTGAAGTTTTTCCCTTACCCAGAGTCTGTGTTTCCTGAGTGAGGCAGTCGTGGGCCAGAAGATTTTATGAATCCATAGGTCTATCTGGATCCCTGACCACAGTAGTACAAGTGGTTCATAATTCATGCAATGCATGTATCTTTCCAACACTTCTCTTTTTTAAGAAGTACTGTCTTCTTTTTTTTCTTCTCTCCCTCCCCCAAACTAAGGTGCGGAGGTCAAATAATTTGTCAACTGCACATGCAAATCTGAGACTTATCTGGGAACTGAATCTGTAACTTTTCAGTCTCTGGCCATCAGGCTTCTCTTTCGACTGTTATTTATATTACTTGTAGTTGGAGACATACTTTTTGCTTTGTCTCCAAGAGGGTAGTTGCCTTTGATGCAGTCATCGATGAAATTTTCATTCCTCTGTAGTCAGCTGATCAGTTGGTGCTTTTCTGAGATTATTTTTAGAAATCAGCAAATACACAATGAGGGAGTTTAGTTCGTGTACTCCCATCCAGACAGTTGACTAATCTAACCTTTGAGATCGCACTGTTTACAGGTTTGTTATAGTGGATGCAATTCAGATTGCTGAAGAGGGTGAATAGAGCTGTGTGTGACTTTTATGAGCTTTCTTAGGGCTTTTTTTCCCCTTCCTCTGTTCTTCAGAATTCCAGGTGAAAAGGCCTCTGCATTTCTCCTGCTAATGTTTCAGATGTGAACTATAAAGATGCTGGAGGTAAAACTTCCAATGGATATATCTGTACCATGACACTATAACATTAATGTTAAGGCAACATCCAAAACTGTTGGTTTCCGTGGAATGCTGCAGAGATTTTGCCCAGCTATTTGTGGTCTGAATGGATTCAGTTTAAGAATACTCCCGTAAATGTGAGGGATAATATTTCTTTTTGCATTCAGTTTGTTAAAATAATTGGATAGGGTCCTAGGGACTGACTTTTCCATGTCATTTCTCTTACACAAATTATTAACAATAAAACAACAGTAGGTCAGATATGTAGCTGCTGTGATTCACTGAAATATTTTGAATGAAAACTGGAATGAATTTGGTGGGTTTTGTTTGTTTTTTAAGTATCTATCATGTTAAACAGCTCTTGGCGTAGTACAATTTGTAGTGTTTGGTATTGTTCTTCAGTGGGGTCTAAAGACATCACCATCTCTGGAACTCATACTTAAATTTTCTTGCAGTTTCACAAAGGTTGGTGTTTGGGTTTGGGTTTGGTTTTTTTTTTAGTAACTTGTGTAACCATAATTCTGCATCTCTGTTCTGGAACAACTGTACATTTTTGGGTCTGCCCATATTTCACTTCAGTAAGCAAAATGATTGCCTGCTTCCACTTCTTTCTTTGAAAAAGCTTTGCCTAGTGATAAAATGTGTGAAAGATACTTGAGACATATGCAATTTATTTTTTTTCAGCACAGCAGTGAGAAAGTTTATATGGTTGGGAGTGCAATTCATTAACTAAATTATTCAGGAAAACTGAAATTAAATTCCATTTTTAATATTCTGCCTGGGGAAGTGATACTGCTTGTTTCTTCAGCAGTGTCAGAACATACAATAGGTTGAAACTGTTTTAAACTTCTTTAATATTTTAACATAGGAAGAAGATATTGTGTAAATAGTTTCATTTCAGATGCTGCTGTGTATACGTGCTGCTGGTCATCAGCAAAAGAGGGAGGATGTATTTCTGTGGACAAGGGGACAGAATAGGTTGTATGGATGGTGATGGGAGCAACTGGCAAGTAATCTATTAATTACAGAAATAAAATTAACTAACATAATAGTGTTATAATTACAGAAGGTTTCCAGGGCACAGGTTTACCAGGGGACAATCCAATAGTTTACATTTAATTTTTCTCTTTTGTTCTAGGCTCTGGATGTTGACCGAACTGTTCTCTATAAAATGAAGAAATCTGTCAAAGCCATAAACATATCTGGTCTGGGTAAGTACATAATAATTCCTGGTAGTTTATATTGGTGAAATTGGAGGATTTAAACAGTCAGTTGTCTTACTGAATCAGAAAGAGTTATATGGGTAACTCTGAGAAGAGAAAAATTTACATTTTAAATAGCAGTCTTGAACTAGCTGCTTGATGATGAGCTTAGTAAGCATGAATTTTTTCGAGGTAGCTGAAGCTATCTAGCTGGCATACTGCTACCAAGTGGGGAAGCTGTGCTCTCCTCTTTCTACCAGGTCTGGGCTACCTGCTCCTTCTGCCACCCCTGGTGCTTGGCAGATCCCTTGATGAGATTTTTAGCTCATAAAGCTGCATAGGCAGTGAAATCAACTGGGATTAGATGAGCACCTGAAATGGTAAGACACATATATCATCGAGAGCTGAGGGCATGGGAGTGGTGAAATTACTCTCTTTGGCAGCAGTAAGAAACTACATTGGCTCTACTGCTTTGTGAAACCTCACCCTTCTGGTGGCTTCCAGTTATGTACGTTGAGAACTTCATGACAAGAGAGAGCTGATGAGCTGCAAAGTCAGATATTTCTCTTACAACACTGATAAAAATACAAACAACTATTGCTGCATGCGTTTTTATGTGTGCCAATCTCATGGAGTTTTGTGTGTTTATCTTTGAAAAAATAACTGAAGCTTTTGTTTTTGTGGATCAGCAGCATTTTGTAAATAAGCAGCGGCATTTGTTTTTGTGGATAAGAAACAGCATTTTGTTTGCATTTGTTCTCGCTTTGCAGTTCATAGCAATTACAGCTAACAAAACCTATATTATATGCAAAATGGATAGGCCTGGCGACCTTGGAGAGCCACCAATATCTGACAGAACTTGTGGGCCTGTTGGTGTTCAGATACAAGGTTATAACAGGAACTGCTGTTATGGTGTAATTCTTCTTGGCTAATTGAAAAGGAGGTTCCTTCTTGCCTAATGTAATGAAGCTGTTCTCTTTGGATTGTGGAGGGTCCAGTTTAAGATTCATCTGGATCTGTGTCATCTGTTACATATTTACTTGGCACTCTTTCTTCTGTTTGGTTTTTTGTTTGGTTGGTTGGTTTTTTAATTTTTAAGTGCTTGACTATGCCTCATAATCAATGTACTTGTTACAGCATTGTAGCAAATCACTACAGTTTTTACATAAAATCAGTACCTTGCCTAATTTTTTAAATTCATGCTGCCCAATCTTGACAATAAAGGTTTGGAAGTATTTCTCTTCCACCAGTAGAAATATCACTAACCCAGCCACTTGCCAGCCCTTGGGGTTTCTTTAGACAAAACAAAAACTGTGGCCCTGCACTCATAAAAACACAGTTACTGGATTTTTAATATAGGTTCCCTGAATATTAAGTATACATGTTTTGGCTTTCTTTTTTAATGTGTGAATTTAGAAACTGTTATAGAGGATTACATAGTGACTCCAATTTATACATAATTTAGTTTCTTACTTAAAAAAAGCCTCTAAACCCTCAAACAAACCTGGCTTAGATTTCTTTTTTTTTTGATAGATTCCAAACCTTTTGTTTGTAGAGAAACTTTTAAAATCCATCGGGAAGAAAGCACAGGGCAGGGAGAGTATTTTGGAGGGTTCCATGACAAAATACAATTTTGTGTTCTTCAGAAGCACATGTGGAGTACTAACTCAGCTGATAGTATTGCTGCAATAACTACCATCAGCATTCTGGGGAATGTCTCAGAATTGCTGTTGAGCTCCTGGTTTGTTGGCTTTCTTTAATCTGACACATAGACCCAGAAAAACAGTCCCTAGGATGCTGGGGAATAGAATACTCTTGGGGATGCTGTATGGAATAGAAAGCTCTTGTTTCCTAAGGTGAAAAGTCAGCATGGTTCAGCTGCTGATTGCACATCTAACTACAACAATTAATGGTAGCAGCCTTTTCACCTTGTTTTTAGGCAGTGGCAGCCTTCTCTTTTTGCTGCATGAATTGTGCCCTGACCTCTACCCTCACCTGGGTTCAAATACACCAAGCTGGATGCAGGAAGCAGTAAGAATACAGAAAGCAATATGGAAATAATTCACCTTACTGGATAGCTGTGTGAACTACAGGAGTTGCAACCTGCCACATCCGGTCTTTTGCTGTCTGTACCAGTTCGTTCAAAGCTTGTTCAGGTGTGTGTATATCACACAATAGTATTAGTTGAAAATCCTTACTTCATCCTACAGCTCAGGTAGCAAAAGGTTTGGTAAGTGCGCAGCCCCTGCTGCGGATGCTGATGAAAACTAAATACAGTTCAGTGCTAGGGCTTAGTTTTTAAATTGAATGGCTATATGCAAACTATCTTTTACAGGCTGCAAATTTCAGTGCTTAAGATAGAAACTTGTAGAATTAATGCCGTTTGTGTAACTTCAAATCTGCATGCACATTATAACAGTCTTCAGTTACGTGATTTTATACTACTACTCCACAGGGTTTTAGTTTCATGTATTGGAAATTAAAGAAAATTTGTAGCTACTTGAGAAATAAAGTTCTTGAATGGCTGTCCAAATAGGAATATGAACAGACAGGCTTGATTTTAAGTTGGAGCGTGCTACGTTTATTGAACGGGTTGTATAACTAATTCATAGAAATTTGGAGAAAGGGCATTGCATCAAGAATCCTTTGGATATTAAATGTGTTGACATGTACAAATGGGCTTGAAATGAAACCAGATCATTGCTTGTTTGAACAGTTAATCCTCTCCAAATAATCTTCAGGGTTTATGCTGGTCTCATGTGATGACCAAGAAAGGGTCTTTGTTCTTATTAATGCATAACTTGTTTTCTAGGATATGGGTGGTTTTTCCTGACTTCCTCTGAAGTGTCAGAAATTGGCCACAGCTAGAATAAGAACTAGGCAATGTTAACTTTCTCAGGTGCCAACTTGGTGTGCTTTGTCCATATGTGCTCAAGCTTGACATGGTCACTAAGCTTGGGTTCAGAAACACTTTTTGTTTTATTCCATACATCAAATTGACAGGGACTTCTTATGTGTGTCTACAGAAGCAAGTAATCTGGTGTTCTAGGAGTAAATCAGTAGGTCGAAGTAGTTAAGTCTGAGGCCCCTCAGATTTCCTTTGTATTTGAGTTAAGGGAACTTGCTTTAGGCCTAGATTTCATCTCATTCCCTGGGCTGAATAACCCCCCAATATGTGCAGCTCAAAGCTTTCTGAAGGGCAGAAGCATTAGCTGTGTGCTGGATGACTTGCATTGGTGCAGCCCATACAGTGATTCAGAACCTGCTGTCTCTGTTAAGCACTGGACCACTTCTGGGGCAGAGCCTCTGGTTTCATTGTCTCAGAAAGGAATCTAGTTGTTGTGAACCAAAACTGCTTTGAGAACTGAACTGGTCTGTGGTAAATGCAGACTGCTAGGATTTGCTTCTGATTCCCACTGCTGCTCTGAATCGGAGAGTTAACATAGATATGGGTTTTGTCCTCATCTGTAATGTAGTTTGTAGTCCCATTTCCTAAGATGACTTGAGAGTCTTATTTGATCTATTGCCTTCTATTGTAGAGATCCAGAACTCTGCCAACACACTTGATCTCCTCTGTTTCTTTGTTCAGCACACAGTTAAAATTCGAGACCGTTAATAAAAGACTCTAGAAGTTCATTATAGGAGTTGGTAATTGTTATGTGATCTTAGCTATGGTGCAGAAATATTGTGGATCTTTCTAGAGTGGATTCCTGTCAGATGGTTGTCTTGTTTTGATGACACATTGTCCTTTGTACAGCATGTGGATAGATACACGTAAACCAGAATTAGTGAGATACGTCATACTTCTGGCATATCAGCGTTAAAATATGAATAATAAATGTTTATTGTATCAAGTCAACATTTTTAGCGAGAAATCTTCTGAAAAGTTGTGTTTTTTTAAAAAAAAACTCAGTTGTAATTTCAATAACCTTTTATCTACTGATGATATTTTCATGTTTTGCTCTTTTTGAAGCTCACGTGGAAAATGAAGAACAGTATACACAAGCACTGGAGAAATTCGGAGGCAACTGTGTTTGCAGGGATGACCCAGATTTGGGAACAGCGTTTTTAAAATTTTCTGTGTTTACAAAGGAATTAACTGCACTCTTCAAAAATTTGGTAAGAATTACTTAAGAAAAACATGTTGAAATTTTTTAAGGCCATTACAAAGGCTGTATTTGTGAATTATAACAGCTCTTCATGTTGAAGACAATTTGTGTTTTAGCAACCACTGTTCTTAAAAAATTCTTGGCTTAGGAAGATGTCTCATGGCCTAGCCTTTCACCTTGCAAAATTAAAAACTTAAAAAAAACAACCAAACCAACTAAAAAACCACAAAAAAACCCAAACCCCCAAAACAAAAAACAAATTACCACAAAAAACAAATAAACACAACAAAAAATACTCTTCCAACAATTCTCACGCCTAAAAGCTTCCCACAATAAAGTAATTATAACATGTATTATAAAATGCATGTATCAATTTCCTTTGAAATTGTGAAACCAGCAAAACCCAGCTTGGTTTACTCTGTGTTCATGTTGCTTTTACTTTACTTTTTCATGCTTTCTGTTTGTATTTATAAAGGGAGATTTTAGTGTCCCTGGAAGAGAGAGTCTCTTGCTTCTCAGGAAAACAAAATCAAACATAATGCTAAAATGACAGTAGTGTCCACTGGGGACCAATCTTGCAAATGAAGCCAGTAAGGCTTAAAAGCACTCTTCAGTGAGCCAAATGGGATGGGGCCAAATGGAAGAACTGGAGTTTTAATTACGAATGGAAAATTTTCAGCCTCGATTTCACATTAATCAGAGAGCACGAAAAGAGCAGATTCTGACTACATCCTACTAGCTAGAGGTTTCCCATGTCTAAGTAAGTCCCAAATTTACTTGAAACCACAGAACTCTTAAACCAGGAGCTATGAAGGGGAGATGACCCAGATTCCTACAAGCATTTAAAAATCTGTGCCTGCTGAAATCAATGGGATGGAGACACATCAAATGTTTTTGTGAGTCTAGACCATATGTCTGTAGTTTGCAGCCAGCTGGTCATAATCAGTTCTTTGGGGAATGTTTCCAGCTGATGGGATTTAGGGTGGTCCCATTCAGTCCCTGATGCTGTCCTCTCTTTTTACCCAATCGTGATATTGATGAGAGAGAATCTAGCCCCAAATGTATTTATCAACAGTGAAATGTATTTCATATTCATCATATTGATTTGAATATTTCTGGATGTACAATGTTACCTGAGAATAACGTATCAAAAGAGGTATCCTTATTGAGTGTGAGTCAGTCCATTATCCTGAGTCTCCCATACAGAGGTAGACTGCTCATATGGAAGGGGAAATAGAATGGGTCTTCTAATTGATACCTTCTGTTGACTAAAAACCCCTCTCTATCATAAATTAATTGCAATATGGTGACTTCATTAGGCAAATGGATCTGGGAAATGTGATGCTTAGGTGGTTTTAAAAAGCAATCTACTAAAAGCTGCACCCCCTCCCCAGAAAAACCTTTTAATGTATTGCATTTCAAGATGACTTTTAAAAGCTAATAAAAGTTGCTGTTTTACCAAAAATCTTAGCTATTTGTTCTCTTAAACCAGTAATTACTAACTTTGCAAAATGTTTCTGACAAGAATAACTTTTTCCCCCAAAACTGGAAAGGAAAATAAAAACAAAATAAATATCTATAGGAAGTGGGGTGCATATTTTTATTGCTTTTCTTATCCATGTAAGCATTTTGTGTGTCTTCTCCAAGGAATATTTCTAAATCTTTTTTGCAGTGTAATGCTTTTTCACTATCAACTATGTATCTTTGCTTCAGCTTGTATGTATAAGAGGATATGTCATAAGATAGTAGCTAAGTTCTTAGTTTTTCTCAGTTTGTTATTCTGATTTTCTCTATTTTTGAAGCAAATAATAATTTTGCATGTATGTGGTTTTGGGGTTTTTTTGTTTTTTTTTTTACATTGCAATATCACAGGCACCTTCTGTCTTCTTTAATACTGTCTGGTGAAGGACAGGTCTCTGTAAGGTTCTGTTCTTTCCTAATATGCTTCATACTGTTGAGGTTTGAAGTTTTTTGTTTTCTTCTGATTAGCAAAGGAAAACTGAAGAAGTAGAGGAACCTAATGGTCCTTGAATTTGGTGTCTCTGTAGGAAAATAGTTTCCTCCAGGAAGAAGTACGTATGAAAAAGAGATGTAAACTTCATTATTGCTTGAAAATACCATATTTATAAACAAGAATTGTAGAATTATAGAAGAATTATAAAACGAAACTATAGTTTTATGTAACTTTGCGTATTAGAAGTTAATACCACTAGAATAAATTTTTGGTAACTGGTCACTTTGAAAACCTGTTCATAAGTTGGAGGTCTAGTTTTCTAAGAGGTTGCAAGAGTACTGACCAGTGTAAAAAGTCCTATACAGTAGTTGGAAATAATTTGGGGTGCTGTTTTTTTTAATAGTCGTAGCCGTATGTGAAGCAAGCCCTACGCATTCTGACTGTGGTAAAGTATCCAACTCCGAACGCTTTAAGCATGTTGGCAGTTGAAAACACCCCTCTCTTCTAGTGATTCCTTGTAGCACCTGACATATTTTGGTTGTAAATAGTTTCATCAAAAATGTAGTCACGGCCTTACAACCTGCTACTGTTAAAAAAACATTCCGAAAGGTACTCTTTTTAAATAGACCTATCCCTGGTGTTTCATAGGGTGCTGAACTTCCACAGATTTTAGCTGAAATGAGTGGGGAATGTGCAAGGAAGTGAGAGGACGTGTTCAGACTGGAACAGATGCCGAAGCTATTAACACTGGCAAAGCTTTAAGGCTACTGTCAAGTTTTGCTTTGTCATATATTTTGTTTTTCTTTCTAGAAGCTGATGTGTTCTGTCAGCTCTTGGCCTTGGTGGCATTTAGAGCTGTAGCTCTAAAGTGCTTCTGCAGAAAAAATTTGGTTAAACTTGTCTTTAGTAAGGTAAAAGAAAGCCATTATAAAGTTGTTCTACTTTAATAGGGGGTTTAGGTTCTTGTTTTATGTAATATTTTTAAAGGTTTCCCAGAATACTTTTGTGTTTTCGTGGTCTTACCAGGGCATCAATGTTTTAAAATACCTCATTAACAGCTGAAGGTTTTTTCCCCTGGAATCCAATTATTCAACTGTAATCTATTCAAGTTAAAGTTCAGGTCTTGGGTGTTTTATATGTGTTTTGCTATGCTTCTTTTATGTGTGCACTTTTAAATAGTGCATAAAACTAAAAAAAAAACTTTGAAGAACTTTGGTTCTTCACATTTGAAGTGATTCATAAAACACATCTTTAAGAGAAGAAATAAATTGACATTTACAGTATATCAGGTCCTTGTAACTACTAACTTCAGCCTTTCTAACACATTGTTTGGATCAGTTTATGATATGCTGTGCATTTTTTTTTCTCTTGCCATAGCTCCAATATCAAGCTACAAATTTTTCTTCAACTTCTTTTGGATTAGAAATGTTTTTAAGAAGATTGAGCAATCAATATGTCTTTTTTGGTAGTGAACTATCAGAAAATACTAGAGGCATTTTCAGAGGTAACATGGTACCTTTTGTGGCATGTGCAGTATTGCTTCTTGATGGTACCCTCGCTGCTAATTCCTGATAGAATGGTAGCACCCACAGTTCCCTGATAGGTTAGGTCTGTATGGCACTTGCTTATAGTGTAAATTGCTCTGTCTTCCTAGTAAATTTAGTGCCAAGCGATAATGGTGTGAGTCTTAATATGAAAAATGTCAGGACAAGTAAAGGCTCATTGCAACATGTTTGCACTTCAAATATTTTTTCCTTTAAATCCTATTCTTAGATTGCTACACCAAGAAGAAATAAAATCTGTAGTTGCCTGTCATCTCTGTCAGCACTCCTTGAAAAGGGATTTGATCTGTGAGGATGAAGTACCTATTTAACAAATTCCATTTTCTCTGTTTGTTGTTCTTCTATATATTCTCGTCCTTTCTTTTTCATTTATTTAAATTTAAAGCTAATGAAACATGCTGGATTGGGAGGACGGGAATCTGATATTTCCACTCTGTGGAAGGTAGCTGGGAGGAAGAGATTCCATGTGAGAAGTTTTTCTATTAATAATCCTTGGATTTTTAGCCAGTAGAAATGGAAGAACAGTGATAATATTTTTCTGACCATATGTTCTTGTTTTACTTCATTTTTTAAATGTAAGAAGGAGATTTGCTTAAATGTAAAAGGTAACAAATAACAAAACTGAAGGAAATATCTTTTTTGTATTGTATAATGAACTTAAGAAATTTAAGCCCAGAATTTTCTTTCCAGGGTAATAGTTCAGACTAAGGTTTTAAAAGAATATTTGGTGCCTGAACCTTCACAAGCATATTTTATTTAGAAGGACTCATCTTAGTTGAGCATAAAAAACAGCTACAGGTATACATATTTGAGGTTGGAGTATTATATGTGAAGCTTAATGATTTAAGTTGTGGTGTTTCTGTTTTTCACTGGTACACTTGAGGAAATATTGGCTTAACGGTGAGAGGAAAAAAAAATAAGAGTACTGTTTGATTTACGCTTGTAAAGACATAAACCAAGATGTAATAATTCCTCCTTAGTGGCATGGGTTTAGCTACACCTGGAATCTTGTCTTTATTTCTTTGCCAAAAAGATACTGATCCAACTGGAAGAAATTCAGAGGACAGTAACAAAAAATGATCAGGGCTTGAAAAGGCTGGTTTATGAGGAAAGCTTAGAAGAATTGGAAATGTATGGTTGCCTCACAGATAACTGTGATTGTGGAAGAGGAAAATAATAAATTGCATATAAATGGGATCTCACTGTGAAAATATTAGATGAGGTGTCCCAGAGAAAGCAATAGATGCTTACCACTTAGGTGTTTTTAACCTAGGTTAGAAAATGTGCAATTGGAAATTCTCCACCGGCAAGGAAGATGGGCTGGAATAACCTCAAGTCTCTTTCTTCCTTTGCTTTTAAAATTCTTCACTTTATGCTTTTAAGAATACCTTTAAAAATGTATTTCTGGTCATTTTGCGCTTGCACTTCCTAATGGAGACGTTCCCAGCTTGTAGTTTGTGTATCAGTGGTAGTACAGGGGCTGTTCCCAAGTAGTACATGGTGGCTACACTCAGCATCTTGTGCAAAGGCATTTTTCTAGGCAGCTCAGGCAGCTGAGCCAGCAGCTCCATGTGGGCACTTAGTGGTGGTCAGCTCCTGCTTTACTGGAGTCAGTTTTCTTACAGCATAGATGGGTGGTGGGTGATGTCCTACCTCAGCCACCGGCCTGGTGGGATGCAGTTTGTGCTATGGGACATGCCAATGCGCTGCAGGTGGGGCAGGGGGTGAGGACAGCAGAAAGGCAGTGTTTTGTCCTTGCATGTGAGAGGGAGACATGGTGCAAGATGAAAGTTTGTGCTACAAGTCTTTGTTATGTGATTTTCTGAAGTCTTGGGGTTAGATGCCAAGAGGTTAGAGTTCAGACAAACAAACTGCGTCTCATCTATAGCAGATTTCCACTTGCTCCCCGCTCTGTTGATTGGCCTTGTCCTATTAATGCTCACATCACTGGGAAAACTCTTGGACAGTATTAAATCCAATAGTACTTGCCATAAAAAAATGAAAATAACTCAATGATTTGTCAGCAGACAGTACTACTGTCACTTTCACACACCCAAGTTCATTGGTGGGTGAGAAGCCCACAGCCATGTACATGGACTGCATCTAGAATTTAGTAATGGCAATAGGAGTCATATCATACACTGTTCAACTGCCTGAATTTTAATTTAAATTGAAAATGTTTTAAGGTCCGCTCTGTTTATCTGCATGTTAAGAAAAGTATTTAACTTCTGAAATAGTGAAAAGGCGCTTTTTTAAATTTTTATTTTTATTTTTATTTTTATTTTTATTTAGAAAACAAAACCTGTTGAAGTACTGCAGGCACCAGTATCCAGAGCTGTTCTGGAAAAGACTCATTAGAGTAATCAGGAGGGCTGGCAAAAGAACTTCAGTGTTTAGCCATAGGCTCTGAATCCACTTGAAAATCTTCTTTCCCCTTTGCAAATGTTGGCTTGGCTGTTGCCTCTACCATCACTTCTGGCAGCTACATGTTTATTTTTATGTTCTCCCCCCTGCCATTTCTTCTTCTCCTCCTCTGAGCCTTCTCCAACTTGGGAAGTTTTAATTTATTACCCTGTCTCTGTCATCTTACTTTGTTGAAGCTGTCAGGGGAAAACTGTGAGTCTGCCAAAGCAGCAGTGTTAGAAGCAGAAACCAGGTCAACTATTTTTTTTTCTTTTTTTTTAAAAACATGTGGAACTTGCTAGTGTTCCTCTGACACAGGATGACTTTACATTTTGACTATTTTATGTTTTAAAATATTCTTTAAAAAGAAACGTGCACAAAGGTGCAGGAAAGCTTCACAGACATTAGAGGCAGTTGTATACATTTTCGCTCCCTGTATACACACAGAGTAGGAACTGCAGCATGTTAATGCTTCTCTGCATACCAAAAATGGATCTATATTTTTAGGTAGTTCAGTTTAAGCTTCTCAAGAAAGAGGGAAAAAACATGTAAGATCTTTCTTCTGTATATTGCTTGGTGATTTATAAATATGAGCAAGTATGATTCATCTAACTGGGTTAATAATGACAAATTCATACCTTATGTATGTTTACATTTGTTGTAAATAAAATAGGAGCATAGGGAATACAATAGACTGATAGCACACAGAAGGAATTAATTTGAATAGGCAAATATTCTCCAAACTTTTTAAAATAATGTTGGGGTTTTTTTCCTGTTCTTTTTTCTAAAGTTGCTTTGGACTTCAGGCCCCATGACTTGAAATTCTAGGAAACCTCCAGAACTGTTTTGGAGGCTGATTAATGTTTACATGAATATATCAGGGATAATCCTTCAGGGTCTGACATTTTTTCTTTCCTGACATAAGGAAAGAACAGTTGTCTTGAGTCTGCTGTTGAGAAATGCTTTCTGCCTGTTTATCTGGATGTGAGGAATAATTAAATGGAGGCTATGAAAGTATTGATCTTTACGTTAGACATTTGACTGCATCATACTAATAAAATAAAATAATAAAGTAGAAAACTGCATAGAATGTTATCTTAGGTGAGACCTCTTCTGCTTCTCCACCTGGATAGCCATTCTGGATGTGTGTGTCCATAGGTGTATGTGTTCCATCTGTTGTCTTCTAGAAGTTTTTATTTTTTTACCTAAGTTTTGTGTGATTTAAACCTTTTCACTCATCTCCTATATCTACAACATACAATTTTGGTAAACTTGAGCATGGTTATGTTGCTATGCAGATGTTGTAGTACTGCTGAGAACTTACGAGGTGGATGGTTTCCAGCACTGCCAGCTAAGCATGTGTAGATGTTGCTCATTCAGTTTTTATAGAAATTATTTTTTAAAAAAACGCAGAGTTGAAACTTAACTTGTTGATTCTAAAGGGCTGTGGCTGAGTCCTGCAGCTTTTGGGGGAGGAGGAAAAGTAGGGTGGAAGAGGGGAAATGTGATTTGAGTTAAGAGTTTAAAAGACTAGATTTTCTGTATTTCTTCAACCTTCCCATGCAGAGGCAATCTATTTAACCTTTAATATTGATGTATGTTCACTTTGTCTTTGATTACTGGCTGAAACTTCAAGCAAACACAGTAAGGTAGTATCTTTCAAGAGGAAGGGTGGGGGCTTGGGGCCTTTGTTTTAATAGCAGCTGTTAAGTACCACTGGGGATGAGACCCCTGCATCTGTTCTAGTGAGGCCACCAAGTAACTATAGGGTGATAGTGTTTTGTATTTTTCCATTCTGGGGAGGCTGAAGCATCAAAATCGGAAATATTTTTTTCTCGAAGTTTCCATTAGTGTCCTTTCTTCTCTGGGTGGGTTATGCTGAAGGGGACTTTGATGTTCCTGACATTGTTCCTGAAGAAACAGAAGGATTTGTTGCTACATGATGCAAAGTTCTTTCTATGCTTTGAACATTTGAAATCCATCTTCATATATGCATTTCAGCGCTTCTTGAAAAAAACACATTTTAAAAGAACAGCTAACAATAACATCAAAAAAAGAAACCTATCCAAAGGCAACCTTCACCAAACTGCTGCAAAAGTTACTCTGATTTTTTCAATTGTGTGGTTCTAAAATACTCTGGTTTTTACTCTTCAGTGCAGTCCATTTAATCGTTACAGTTTAAACTGTGCCTAAGACATCATGGCCCATACCTTGAACGTTTTCCCTGAATCATAAAGGATTGGACATGAAGTCTTTCTTTTCCTGCTGTATGCTACTAACTCTCTTACTCTTACTGTCTTTCTTCATTCTTCTTCCTTATCAAAATATTATCATACAGATACTTATCTAAAACCATGATTATTTTACTGTTGTCTTCATTTGGAATTATTCTTTTTTCTTCTTTAATTACTTGTTTACTCTTGAATTACTTGAATACTCAAGACCTCATAAAATTCTTATTCCAAAGTTTGTATGAGATAAATAAGGCAGATGTATTACTTTTTAGAAATATAAGGAAAATATTTTAATAGTGGCTTTTTTACAGGCCAGCATTCTTTGTCTTTATAACTTCTGTCAGAGTAAGATGCCATGTATTGTGGGAATAGCAGATACGTTTTATGGAATAGGTCTGAAGAGACTGGAAAGTAAACAAGATTAAAATATAGTGATGAACTTAAAATATATAAGTGGTGAAAAACTGTATGATTGTTTTCATATAATTTAAACAGTGAAATCAGGCAATGTAAATATTAGTGGTCTTACTTTGCAGTCACTTTTGGATGAGATATTTATCATCGGCAGTAATTCTGCAGGTTTCCTGCTGGCTTGGGTTATAGAGTTTCCAGAATAAGTTTAATCAACTTATGCTGCCTCCACCTTTGATTACTGGCTGTACTGATAAACATCTTCATAAAGCAGGGTTAGAAAAATAATATATAAGATTTCCTTGTGAAACTTTCTGAAATGTGTGAATTGAGACAGTGTATGTTCTGTGTTAAAATATATTAAATGTTTTGATGTAATTTTCTTGTTACAGATTCAGAATATGAACAACATAATCACTTTTCCATTGGACAGTTTGCTGAAGGGAGATCTGAAGGGAGTAAAAGGGGTATGTTTATCTTATATATAAAATTATTATTGGTACAATAAATACATTTAGCTAGTGTATTAATCTTATTTGATGGAAGGCATGGGATACTGAAGTAATGTATTAGCTGAATAAACAAGAGGTTTGTTTTTTGGTTGGTTTTGGGGTTTTTTTTTGTGTGAATTGAGTCATCCCTTCTGTTTGTAGTTTCACATACAGCATGCTCTTGACTATGTATACAAAACAACATTTGAGAAGCTTTAAAAGCAGCCCTGAGATATAGAAGATAAGCAGAGAAAGAGGTGTAAAATTTCAGATATTTACTTAGTTGAGGAGGGGGTAGTACTTTATTTAAAAGGATTATTATTAATATATTTATTTAGCATTCTAAACGTACCTGGAACTACAGGGATTATTAATAAAGACAGATTAGACTGCACGAGCATAGGATTTTTCTTAAAAAAGCTGAAATCTGCTTGTGCCCTGAGGATATTTCCTATTTGAAATAATAACAACTTAGGACTCAAATGATGATACGTTTATAATAAATTTCAAAGCCTATAGCCAACAAACTTCTTTGGCTTACACTTTGTTTACTACTGAGTAAACAGGAAGTGACTGGCAGCTATTATTCTAGGACATTGAAGGATGAAGAAAAATGTACATAGGCTAAAAATGGTCTCTGTAAATTACTGGAGGATAAAGAGATTATTTAGTAAGATAGGCTTATTATCTTTGTGTTGCTTGCTTACCACAATTCGCTTCTCTTGTTCTTCTCTATTTCTATGTCAGAATAAATACCTTTATTACAATACAGTCTTGCCCCGTGTTCCTGACTAGAAAATAATCAAATGCTGCTTTAATTAATTTCTTAATTGTCGAAATAACTAGCTGACATGTAAGAATTAGTTCATAATCTGTAGTTGCAAAGTTTTTCCAGTGTCTGACAGTTAACAATATTTTTTTTTTAGCTGGCTAATCTCTTGAACTGCAGCAGAATTTCAACTGCTGCATTTCTAGACATCAGCGAAATAGTTTTACAACTTGTTAAGATGATTTTATCCAAATTGGCTTCTTCAGAGGGAAAAAATAAAGGAATTTGGAATATAAGTAATTCAAAATTCTCACAGAATTAGTTATGTCAAGCCATATGGCCTATACTGTTCCCATTAAGTCAGTGAGAAACTGATTTCTTTAACTTTAGTGGGTTGAATCAAGGCCTTAGCCAAGGCTATACCACAGCCTCATGACAGGCCCTTCTTTCCAGTGGAGACAGAGATGGAATGATGAGAAAATAGCTGATTTGATAAATTGCATAGTGTGCTCTTGGGATGACATGTGGTTATACCTTTTGAGGAGTAAAATGGAGCTGTAAAAAGTATCCTAGAGATACTTTTAAAAACATGAGCGTATTAATTCTGTGTATAAGATTGTTTTTCATACATGCAAGACTGCTTTTACACAATCCTTAGGTGAGCTATTCAAGAGAGAGTGGAGTCCCTTATTCTAGTAGGTGCTGCAGATGGCCAAGGTGTGTCTTCATTGTTAGATCCACAGTATATTTCATGTAAATAACTGTATTTTTTTTCTTTACAGGACCTTAAAAAACCCTTTGATAAAGCTTGGAAGGACTATGAAACAAAAGTGTATGTATCTTTTAAACTTTATTTAAAAGGGAAGTATAACTGACATCTATAAAGGTCATTATTTAATGTTAAGGTACCTGCCAGAAGTCCTAGCTTGGAAGCTGAGCTTTTTTTTTCTTTTTTTTTTTAAAACCTGGAGCTGTGTGAAAATACAATTGCATAGACACAATCAATTCAAATTCTGTAATATACAACTTATTTAATGAGTAAACTGTCGTGTGTGTGTGTTGTGCCATGACAGTTAGTGTCTGGGGTAGACCTCTTTGCTTAATGAAGTTCCAAGTAATGAGCATAATCTCCCAGTGCATGTTCTTCCACTGCATATTCTTCCACTTCAATTGAGAAAGTTTTGCTTTAATTAGGAAAGAAATTTTAAAAAATTTTTATAGTATCCATATTACTACCCTGTAATCTACTACATGTGAAAGTGGACTTCCTTTTCTGCCTTCCTCTATTTTTGGAGGACACTACTGTGTAAAATGAAAAGTTATCCACCCTGTGTTTTCATCCTTAACTACCAAAAGTGCAGCAACATAATTGTACTTGATGTCCTTTTAAGCATTTGTTGTTCTTGTTTTTTTTCTTCTCCTCATCAGTGACTAATTCACTATAATTAGCAAGTTTCTTTAGTTGAAGAACACAGAAGAAATTATATACTTTATGCCTGAGTGTTTTGAAATGTCTTGACAAAAAATATCAAGAGTATGCAAGATTTAATTCTGGATTTGTTAGCCTAAAACCCCTGTAATGACTCTGTAATGTCTCTGGCTCTAGCACATCTTCTGAGACTCTGCCCAAGGCTGAGGTCTCTAGGAAGACCTTATTTGATGCTGAGCCTTTGGCACTTACTGAAGAGATGGTAAGGCTGGTGGGGGTGTTTGCTGCTACCATTCCAAAACTGCACAATTCCAGATTGATCCACTATCAGGAACCTTAGTAAGCCACATTTAATTAGTGAAGTTTGTTTAAAGATGTGGATGTTTTCTGCATTTAATGCCAAGGTTGGATGCTCTCAGCAGGTGTATTGTGTACTAGAAGTAGATGAACACCTATCTGCGTCTTGTCAACTGTGTCCCATATTGTGTGTCTAGCCCAGCTTACCATAAGCCACTTGTTTGAAGGTACCTGATGCACAATATAAACAGCTATAAAATCAGTTTTAATAACACAATTTCATATCCAGCTAAATGAATCAAATGAGTCACCAAAGCTCAGCACCTAAGATCAAACAAAATTAACTTTGGTACCTCATAAATCTTCAAGTGATTTAGTGCCCTACATCAAGAACAGTTGTTTCCTGGGTTGGCCAAGTCAATTGTATCCACAGCTGATAGTCTCTGAAGTAGAATTTTGTAGTGGGTTTTATTCCTTAATTTATTTTTTTTTTAATTGCACAAAGTTATAACGATTCTCTGGTGCCCACTGAGTTGGCCCATCTGAAGTTGTGTGCAAATACTCTTCAGAAATTATTCCTATAGGTGGTTTACTCACAAAAGCAACAAGTTTAGCAAGTTAGCTAAATGTCATTATTCCTTTTGTGAATAACAATGAGAACAGTCTAATTACTGCTTTCTAGGCTCAGTTTGTGAGGAGGACCTGAGTGGCTTTTGGTTTTTGAAACTGCCTAGCTATAGCTGGATTTTCATCACAAGACATTCTGAAACAGTGAGATAAATGTCCAGTCTGAATTCTTGGAAGATTGTGATGGCTCCGGTGTTCCATGTTCTTAATACCAGTGAACAATCTCTTTTGGTGCCATGCCAGTTATTGGCTGTTGAAGTAATTAAAATTTCTAATCATTGCCTATGGCAGTAGTTGATCCATAGTAGTTGGGCCATAAAGAACAGTCCTGTAATTTAGTCTTTTATTGTCTACCAGTGCTTGATTGCTGGATCTGAAAGCTTGTTTACTTATGTATAACTTATTGATAGTGACATCCCACAGAGTTTATGTGAAGAACTTAAAATACATTTGCACACTGCTGGGACATATATCAAGAAAACTGTTACTACTGGACCAAGATCTCTGATGCTTTTGGAATTTCTGGTAGAATATTCACTAGGATGGATGTTGGCAATGATGTAAAGATTTGTACTTTGATCCTCAGTTTGGTCAGAGCAGGTAGTCTGTTTCAGAGTCAGGTACTCCAGAAATATTTTAATTTTTTTTTAACTTAGTTAAGTGCTTGAGAAGTAAAAGTACCCATAGAAAATGTATTTGAATCTGTATATTTGGGGATTCTCATTTGAGTTTAAGGACAGTAGATACCTGGAAACATTAGTGTGTATGTTAGTGCATTAAGGACCTGAAAACGTGATGTTGATATTGTGTTTATTTTCTGTCTGTGGAATTGAGTCCAATGCTGCTTGTATAATATCGTGGGATTTTTTTTTCCTTTTAACCAACAGTCCTTTAGAAAGCCTGCTTTATGACTTTGCTTTCAAATAAGACACTTAGGTTTTGATCCAAAACAGGTTTCTTTTTCCATTGTAAGGAGATACCTCTTTCCAAGTTACCTCTGTAGTTTCTGCAAGATTTTTTAACAAATGAAGCACACCTCCTTGACAATGCCTATTTCTAAGCTATTTACATGTCAGGTTATTCAACATGCAAAAACTGAAGGTAGCACATGTTCATCAGGAAATTCTTTCAGATCCATTACCATTTGCAGTGATATTTTCAGGTGGTGGGCTGGTACAATTGCTGTGTGCTCTATTTTTTTTAAGTGGTTGGATGAAAGCTCCACATCAATGTTCTGGAGTTTAAAGCTCTTAGTCTAGCCTGTTGGACTCCTTCACTTTGATCAAGACCAAAGGATCATCTGCTTGAGGCTTGAGATAGGGAGCCTGGGAATTCTGTGTACAGGAAAATTCTTTAAAACAAGGGGGTTTTGGTTTTGGGTTGGTTTTTTTTTTCCCTTCCTTTTTTTCTTGTGGTTGTTTTACAACAGCAGACATTAGTTATTGTGGCTTACATTTGGCAGTCAGGAAATACTGTTTTCCAGTGCAAGCTGCCCTTCTATCAAGGAGCAGGCCAGTTTTCCATAGTCCTGTTGAGTTAAATTCAGACTGCGACTTCTATGAGACCCCCGCCCCTGCAGTAGGACTGCAGAATTTGTCAGGCCCTTTTGTGCGTATGATCAGTTCCCAGATAAGTTGAGATATTGCCAGCTGTCATTGGGTGTTGGTCTTTACAGATCTGAGACGGGAAGTTTAATGATGTGATTTTGAAGCTAGGGTGAGAATATTAATTTGAGCCTGAATCTGTTCAGGTCAGCTTTATCATCTACTAAATTTTGGACATAGGAAAACAGTGAGGTTTTTCTGGTTTGTTATTATACATGCCACTGAGGTTTCTTGAGATAATAACTGTTTTGATTCTGTGGCTGTCCCAAATGGATCTGAACTTCCTTATAGCTGTGCATTTTGGTCATCTGTAGCAGTGGGTGGATGCAGAGTCATCTCAAGAATTCTTAATCACTAATTGGATTTCTTTGTTGTAGTATCTTCAGTCTCTGTCTTAACAAAAAGGCCAAAGAGCCTGGGAGAACTAATCTCAGTCTCACCTACAGCTTGTGTTGCTGGAGTGGGATGGTGCTGGTGGATGTAGGTGTTGATAACCAGAGGTTTGCTCAGCCTTCTTCAATCTGTTACCTTAGATGACTCCTTGTTTGGACTGTGCCTAAAACCAGTCCTAGGTTTATGCTTAGTTAGCTATCTTTTCCAGTGATGCTTCTTCAAATATGTGAGTATTTCTTTTTATTCTTTTTTTTTTCTTTCGTTTTCTTTTCCCTTTGTGTTAACAAACCGTTCAAGGCAGCTAGGCTGCTCTTTGTCTGTGTATCCCTCTGTATCACATGCTTAAAATCATACTGTTCATCTGCATTTCCTAGTCACAAGTACAGACCTGTGAAGCTAAGTGCCAGATATCAAAGTGGTATTTTTCTAGTCTGTGGAGAAGTGACAGTGTCTTCATCCTGATTTCTGTCTTGATAGGCTGTCTTTATAGGGAAGAATTGGAGCTTATTTGCCTCAATATCTCGTCTCTCTTAACTTGCACCAGTGTGATGACATATCAGGTGCTAAAATACCCAGGTGTGACCTATTTCAAAAGAAATTCAGTTAATTAAAAAAATGGCATTTGTTTTGCTTTTTCCCTGTAACAATTTCTGAGCTGCTACTTCAAGCTCTGTATGTAATTAAGTGTGTTTAAAAATTGCCATGTATCTAGTCTTGTGTGGGACAGTGATATTAAGATCCATTCTTACACTCTTGGATCACCATCCATCAATGTTGATTATTATGCAATTTCTTCACCCTGTAGCTACCTAACTTCTTGGAGTATTTTCCTGAAGAGCACCTTAGCTGAAGTAACTCAGGGAGGCTGGATCCATTTATTTTTTTTTATACCCTGGGACTGTAATTGAATAAGGGAGTAAAAGGAGCAAGTAAGCCATAGCTTTATGCCAGGCTACCTGAATTAAAAATTGGGTACATCCGGAGGTGACATTCATGAATAATTAATCTTTTCTCACCATCAGTCATTAACACACTTCAGTTGAAGCCATAAAGATTTTAAAATACTTTTAAAGCTTTAAAGTAGTTAAAAGCAGTGCATTTCTCTAGGACCTCAGTTACAGTCTTTGTTTCCCATATAAGACGTGGTCGATGCTGCCTGCCACTACAGCACCGCAGTGGGACTGGTCTGTGTCCTTTGGGTAGAATTGGTGCAGACTGGGCTCTTTCTGTCATGAGGCGGTTTCTTTCCCCCATGTACTTAAACACTAATGGCAGACACGCTGGGGGAGCATATGGGGAAGGAGTACACATGTCATGAAAACTGCTCATTCTCCCAGCAGGCAGACCGTATTCAACAAGGCAGTGAGCCTGGTTTCAGCCACATTCTTCAGTTTAATGGGTCCTGTTGTGGTAGATTTTGAGGTAAAGACACTGTATCAATTTTGCACAGGAAATAGAAGCATAAACTTACTGAAGCATATT